ACACGGGAAACCTAGTCTCTACAGCTGCAGCCAGGACTCAGAGGTGCAGACGCATCCGGGGGTGTCGCGGCAGGGCTCTGGCGGAGGCCTAGAGAACTTGGCTGGGAGAAACTGAAGTATTCATGTTACAAGTTTAAGGGCCACTATTGAAGATTAGAGATGGGAAGATTTTTTTCTTTTGAGGAAAATAAAGGGGGTAAATAAGATTTGATAAATCCTCAGGCGCCTGGGTGGCTCAGTCAGTTAAATGTCTGACCTTGGCTCAGGTCACGATCTCATGGTTTGTGAGTTTGAGCCCCTCATCCAGCTGTCCGCTGTTAGCACAGAGCCCGCTTTGGATCCTCTCTACCCCTCTCTCTGCCCCTCCCTCTCTCATTCTCTCTCTCTCTCCCTCTCTCTTTCTCTCTCTGTCTCTTAAAAACAAATAAACATAAAAAAAATCCTGGGGCGCCTGGATGGCTCAGTCGGTTAAGCATCCAACTTCGGTTCAGGTCACGATCTCACGGTTGAGCTGACAGCTCAGAGCCTGGAGCCTGCTTCAGATTCTGTCTCTCTTTCTCTCTGCCCCTCCCCCTCTCATGCTCTGTCTGTTTCTTTCTCTCTCTCTCAAAAATAAATAAACATTAAGAATAAAATAAAATCCTAAAGAAGACAAAGAAGAATACCAAGGAGGCAGAGAATTTGTAATAAGAAAGCATACACAGCAGCGGTAGAAATAAGACCACGTATATTAGTAGTCCTAAGAATATGATTAGGTTAAACACATCGATGAAAGACAAAGACGCTCTGACTGGAATTCTAAAGTCTAGCTATATCACGCAAGGGAGGTGCGATGAAAGGTAAAATTGCGCATACAGGTTGAAAATAAAAGGGTAGAGAATTTAAAATACAAAACAGATGAACATAAGGGAAGGGAAGCAGAAATAATATAAAACCAGGGAGGAGGATAAAACATAAGAGACTCTTAAATACAAGGAACAAACTGAGGGTTGCTGGAGGGGCCTGGGGTGGGGGATGGGCTAAATGGGCAAGGGGCATTAAGGAAGACACTTGTTGGGATGAGCACGGGGTGTTCTATGTAGGGGACGAATCACTGGATTCTACTTCTGAAATCATTATTGCACTATATGTTAACTACCTTGGATGTAAATTTTTAAAAATTTAAAAAAGTAAAAGAAAGAAAATGAAAGGATGGAAAATTATACCAAGTAAATACTGACCACAGGGAAGTGAAGTACTAGTAAATATAAGCAAATAATAAATGAATAATTATTACAATAATTTATTACTACTAATAAATGAATGAACTAATAAATGAATTCAAGCAAAAGAACACCGATAGGAAGAAAGAAGAACATTGGGCACTGATGAAAGTCATAATCTACCAAAAAGACATAAAAACAAGTGAACGTGTATGTACCTAATTAAGTGTTTGAGATATATGCAGCAGGAACTCCCCAAAGTAGAAGAAAAATCAACGAGTCCACAATAATAGCGTGAGATTTAAAACCACACCTCTTAGAGGTGGACAGATGAAGCAGATGAAAAATAATTTAAAATAGGGTAGGGGACAAAGGGGACCGATTCACTCTGCATCTGTTCCCACCTGCCAGCGTGCCTTCTTATCCTGCAGAGGAAGGGAAGCTGTCAATTATTTCCCAGAGTCCCTTACGGCTAGTGCTGCAAAATGTGGATTCGTTTCCAGCACTGGCTGCCACCACGCAAGATCTGGAAGGCAGATGACCGGCAGAGGCCACCGTGCTTTTCCTGGGGTTGTTTCTGCTCTAGTACAAGCCTAGTGGGAGGGCCGCTGGGCTTTGTGTGTCCATGTCTGGCCTCCAGTGTTGTGAATGTTGGGACTCTGCCGTGCTCTGTCCCGGTCTTGGCTCCCTAGGCCAGGCTGTGTTTGTAGCCGGCTCCAGTGGGGGTGTCTCTGAGCCCAGCCTAGAGGGCACTCCTGCGGCCCCTCCAGGCCCCTGGTAAACACCCGACGCCTCCTTATTTCTCAGATACCAGGAGTGGTTTCTGTGTTCTGCCCTGAACACTGATTTCTATAGTTTCAAGTTATTCTAGATCACGGCGGATTTAAAAAACATGATGTCAAAGCCGAGGTAATAAAGAGGCAAGGAAAGCTCACACCATTAAATGGACACTTCACGTTGCTTCAAGCACCCAACAAATATTAACCCTGACCCTAACCCTCATCTGTAAAGTAGGAATCATAGTACTTACCTCATAGACTCGGTGTTAGGATTAATATAGCTAAATTGAAACAGATAAATAGAGGTAAAGCGTTTAGACCAGTCTCTGGCTCCGAGCAGCACTATGTATTAGCCATTGCCATCTTTTTATCCTCAATACCCCCATGGGGTGCTAATAACACCTCCACTCCCCCCTCCTTTGGCGATGGCGGGAGACTTCCATTATGGAAATGGACTAGAATAACAGTTCACTTCGTCCCAGGGGGCCTGGTCAAGTCTCTACCTCCAGGACTGCAACATTCCATAGTGGGAGATCTTTTCACCTAAAAAATCATTTCTTAGGGTGGTAGCTGGATGGAATTAGTGACATCGAGTCTCAGCTCCTACGCCGTCTGTGACCCTGACAGCCAGATCAGATCATGCCAGCTCTTGATCACATGACACTTTCTTTTTCTTTTTTGTAGTAGACCTTATTTCCGACATTTAAAAAAAAATGTTCATTCATTTTTGAGAGACAGGGACAGAGCACGAGCAGGGGAAGGGCAGAGAGGGAGGGAGACACAGAATCCGAAGCAGACTCCAGGCTCCAAGCTGTCAGCACAGAGCCCGACGCGGGGCTCGAACCCATGAACCATGAGATCGTGACCTGAGCCCAAGTCGGATGCCCAATCGAGCCTGAGCCACCCAGGTGCCCCTAGAGTAGACCTTATTTTTATGAGTTTTAGATGTACAAAAAAAAAAAAATTGAAGATGAGTACAGAGAGTTCCCGTACACCTGGCACTCAGTTTCCTTCCTATTATCTTGATTTTTAAATTGAACATTATGTCTCTGAGAGACAGCCATGTTGACATATAGACTTATCGTGCGCACTCCAACTGCACTGGAATATTCCACTGACCCGAAAGCGTCTCCTGGCCTCACGTGGGTACAGGTTCAGGGCTGGTGGATTCCATTTCCCTCTCGGTGATGTCTATCAAATCCCTAGTTCCGCAGAGAAAATATTTACATAGCTGTAATGTCGTAAATGTCATATGGCTTTAATGTTAAGAATCAATCTACAGGCAAAGTATGGCAAACTGAATTATCTTTACAGGCTAGGGCAGACGTGCTACAAATCTTAAAGCAAAAAAAAAAGGTGAGGCGCTGGAGGAAGGGCAGCAGACGGGAAGGGGCACTGTTCATATCACACAGAGGTGAGTCCAGAGATGCAAACTAAGGGAGAGATGGACATTTAAGACTACTATTCAAAGTAGTGATAGCATCCAGTAGAAACAATAACAAAATAAATATAGAAGAGAAAAACTCGGGGGGGAGAAAGGGGCCCAGGTGGTTAACACAGTCACAACAGCAGAGAGTCAATAGATACTATTTAAAAAAATTTTTTTTAATGTTTTTTTTTTAAATGTGTTTTTGAGAGAGAAAGAGACAGAGTGTGAGCAGGAGAGGGACAGAGAGAGGGAGAGGCAGACAGAATCAGAAGCAGGCTCCAGGCTCTGAGCTGTCAGCACAGAGCCCACACCCGGATTGGAACTCATGACCCATGAGATCATGACCTGGCCTGAGGTTGGACGCTCAACGGACTGAGCCACCCAGGTGCCCCAGGCAGTAGATACTATTAACAGGAATAAGCCAAGTACTAGCGTAGGAGAACATTATTCACAGCTATGAAAGTCACATAAATAAAAAACTAAAACGACAATGAACATGGTAAAAGGAAGGTGGCTCCCAAGAGTCGGGATGTGAGAGGACGTTGAAGCTTTTTATTTCTAACCTTTCAGCTGGGCTTGGAGATGCGTTTTTACCCATATGAATTCTACTTTTACATTTGAGATAATTAAAACAATAAAGAATTAAGCAGAAATGTGGTTGTGATTCCCCTCAGGCTTCAGGCACTTTCAGCAACTCCCCATGGCCCTAGAACCAAGTTTAAACTGTCAGATTCAAGGTCCTTCCATTCTGATCTCTGGATCCGGCGCCCACCTGCCCCACCCCCTCCGCCCAGGAGCCCAAGGGATTGGCACCTCCGCCGGGAAGCCCGCGGGAGGGAGAGCGCGCCCCCTGCCGGCGCCAGGACGCCAGCACGCCTGGGGTGCCGTCCTCTGGGCGTCTTCAGAGGCCCCGCCTCCGTCCCTCACCCGGGCTCCCCGCCTCACGTGACCCCAGCTGCTGGCGAGCTCGGGGGTGGAAGCCTGGGAGGGGGAGCTGGGGGAGCCCAGGTGAGAGCTGCTGGGCGCGCTGGGCGGTAGGGGACCGTCCGGGGCGGATCTGGGAGTCTGGAGGTGGTACCTCTTGGAACGGGATCGGTGTGAGGCGAGTTACTGCCACTCCCTTGCTCACTGCCTGGTGGTTTGGAGCTGGGCTTTCGGTGGGGGAGAGAAGCCCCTCTCTGCCTCTCCTGTCTGCGTGTCCTGCCCTTTGGGGAGTCGCTTAACGTCCCCGTGTCTCGGTTTCCTCAGCCGTGGCTGCCAGCACGAGATGAGATTACGCACGCAGTAGGTCATGAAGCAATGGCCCTTTTATTGCTCCATCCCCGTTGAGCAAAAGTGTGAACTCTCAGAGATGGGAAGCCCTGAAGGGTCACTGTCGCTCAACCTAGTCCGGTGGCAGGCTTCCCCTCCCCGACCTGGGGCTCCAGGCCCTGTTGGGTGCTGTCTCCCTGTGGCCCCCAGGCCTCAGGTGTGGGCAGGGCCTCAGGCCTCCACCTGGAAGGGAGGCTGTCTCCTGAATGGGCTGTGTAATGGAGTCTCCTCTCTCTTCAAGGCCTGTGTTCTGCTTGGGGCCCCAGTAGGTGGACAGACATGTCTCAGGAGGGGCTGCAGTGGGGCTCCCACACCAAGGACCTTGGCCTCAGCCCCAGTAGCTGGGGGCTTTTCTAGAAGGATGTAGAAGAAGCCAGCTCCATGTCAGGCTTGATGCCATACATGCAAGGGGTGAACCCTGGGGCCTATGCAGGGCTGGCACAGGAGAAGGCTCCCCTCAGGGAAAAGGCCCATCAAGGTGCCAGTCCCCAGGCTGGGGGTGCTCCTGGGGCCAGCCTGGAGGTGGAGGCCCGCTTGATGGTCCTGGAGCTGTGGGCCATGGGCCAAAGCCAGGATTGGGTGCCTGTCCCCGGGCTCCATGTCCAGCTGCCCGTAGTGCCTGCTCAGGGGAGGGCTTGGGCCTGCAAGAGGCTCCAGGTTTGTCTGCACGACCTCTTAGCTGAAAGCTGGCCTGGGTATCCTCGCAGCATGTCTGTGGGTCTCCCGGGGAGAGCTGCGGTTGGCAGGGAGAGGCTGGTGGGGCAGAGAGACAAGCCACCCCCCGCCAGGAGAGGCCAGAGGAGGCTGGAGTCCTCCAGGGTGTGATGAAAGAAGCCCCACCCTCAGCAAAGAGGAGCCCCCCAAAAGGAGGCCCGCTCGGAGGGTGGGGAGGGGGCTGGCGGCTTCTTGTGGTTTGGTCAGAGCCCTGGTGGGGACGACCCCCAGTGCCTGGGAGGCCCCCCCGCACCAGGTGCTGACCTGGAGTCCCCGGGAGGCCTTTGTGGTCACCTCTCTCCCAAGGGCACCGGCCCTGGGCCCGGAGATCCGGGTGGAAGTTGTGTGGGATGTGTGTCAGGGTCTGAGAAGTTTGAACACGAGCCCACTGCGGGGAATGGGGCCCAGCCAGTGAGCCCCTACTGCTCGATGGAGGAGCGCCCCTGAGGCCAGCTGCCCGGGACCCTCCACAGAGCTCTGTGCGGAGCCTGGGAGTGTCTGGAAAGGCCTTCACCGAGGGGCAGGGAGCCGAGCAGTGGGAGCTGGCTGTGATCATGGCCCTGCTCTCGCACGACCAGGAGGAGCTAGACGTCCAGGCCGAGCCGGAGCCCAGGGGCAGGCTGGGGCGAGGCCAGCACCCCCGCCAACCCCCTCGAGCCTGCAGCCAGCAAAGCTCACTCAGGCCCGTCCATGGGGCAGAGAAGATCCAAGGGTGGTAGACGGCTGAGGAGAGGCCCAGTGCCCCGTGCCCAGCACCAGGGCACAGATAACTGCAGCCAGGACCAGCCAGAGGGATCCAGCCCGGGAGGCTTCCCCAGACTGGTAAGTTGCGTCTGAGAGGTCGGGATGGAAGGGCTTGGCTAGTCTTTTTTTTTTTTTTTTTTAAATGTTTTATTTATTTCTAGGAGAGAGAGAGAGAGACAGCGTGAGCAGGGGAGGGTCAGAGAGAGAGGGAGTCACAGACTGAAACAGGCTCCAGGCTCTGAGCTGGCAGTCAGCACAGAGCCCGACGCGGGGCTCGAACCCACGAACCGCGAGATCACGACCTGAGCGAAAGTCGGACGCTTAACCAACTACGCCACCCGGGCGCCCCAGGGCTTGGCTAGTCTTAACACACCGTGCTTGGCCGTGGAGATTAATAGAGGTTAAGCTACAGAGGCTCTTAATGGACATTAACACCCATTTGATACATGAGTAAACTGAGACCCAGTATGTCAGGAAAGAGAAAATGAACTATGTCTGCTGGTGTCTTGTGAGGGTTCATTATCTCTTGGAGTTGGTGAGTCCTAGGTTCAGATTTGCCTGTCCACTTCCTAGCTGAGTGACCTTGGGATATTTTTTAACCTGAGTTTCCTCATCTGTACAAAGGGGATACTGATTGGGGCGCCTGGGTGGCTTAGTCGGTTAAGCGTCCGACTTTCGCTTAGGTCATGATCTCGCGGTTCGTGGGTTCGAGCTCCGCGTCGGGCTCTGTGCTGACTGCCAGCTCAGAGCCTGGAGGAGCCTATTTCAGTCTGTGACTCCCTCTCTCTCTGACCCTCCCGTGCTCACTCTGTCTCTCTCTCTCTCTCCTAGAAAAACAACAACAACAACAACAAAAAACAAAGGGGATATTGATTCCAATTTAAGAGAAGGTTGTGTTAAGAACTACACGAGATGATGGTGTAAAATAATGCGTCTAGCACAGCATAAGGCACGAAGTGAATTACTTAATTGATATTAAATTTGTGTTTCCTTTAGTGTTAACAATAACCCTAAAAGATAGGCATTAGCTACGTGGTTCCAGATGGGGAAACTGAGGCTCGGGGCAGTTAACAAGCTCCTCCAAGCTCACACAGCAAGAGAGTCAGTGCCCAGCCTTTCCCCTGTATTCATGACTCCTCTCTCTATTGTTCTTTAGTGATCATACTTGTTATTTTATTAATAATCGTAGCTAACATGTTTCCACCCCAAAGGCAGAAGGTGACCTGATTTTGGTGTATATTCTTTGGTGGAAGGTTTATCACATTCATTGAGTATGTATTATGTGCTATAGGTACTTTTGATTTAATATTCCCATGAAGCCCAGAGAGGTAAGGTAACTGGCCCAAGGTCACACACATGGTCATTGACGGAGCCAATGGGGTATAAACCCTGGCAATCTGTTCTGTACCACCTGTTTGTGCAGCTTCTGTGTTGGCATCAAAGTAGTCATGGTATCTGGCCTGCTTACCCCGTGCTGGCAAGCACTTTACCTTCCTAACAACCCTATGAAATAGGTGCTACTGATCTATACCCATTTTACTGATGTGGACACTGAGGCTCAGAGAGGTGACATAACTACTAGCTCAAGGCCAACCAGCAAATTAGTAGAACTGGGATAGGAACACATGAGCTGCTGTGACTTACCGGTGTTTGGTATGATAATTGCATTGGAATGCTGTGACATTGTTTTTGTAAACATCGCTCAAAAACAATTTTTAATAAAAAAAAAAAGACCAGTACGTGTTTATCATAGAAAATGAAAACAAAAAACCCCATGATGCCAAGTGTTTGGTATGTCCTTCCTCTCGTCTTTTTCCTGTGCATACGTATCTTTTCTTTATCTAGAAATGGGATCAGATGTCAGATGTATAACTCAGCTTTGTCGGTATTTTTTAAAAAGTTCACAGTTGGGCTGTCTGGTTGGCTCAGTTGGTAGAGCAGGCGACTCTTGATCTCGGGGTCGTGAGTTCAAGCTCCACGTTGGGTATAAAGCTTACTTAAAGAAATTTTTTTTCACAATTAATTTGTTAACACAGCAAGAGGAAGTCCCTTTGAATGTTTCCAGGCCCCATGGCCTGTTACCGGCTGGAGTCTCCTCCGGTCTCCCTACGATGAACATCTACATCTACATATCGTACATGTCTAAGTAATCTTATAAATGCTTTATTGTTTTGGGGTTTGTGCTTTAATTTTCAAGCATTATAGTGTTTGGAGATCTTTCCAAGTTGGTACTTATCCGTTTCCCGAATCCGTGCTTTTCCTGAGCCCTGGATCCTAGCGAGCTGCAGACTTATTTGTCACAGCCACAGGCGCTGCCAGGACCCGAGGATGGGCCGGGGCTTCCTCTTCTCATTTCCGACTGCTGTCGTGCAGTTAAGAGTACGGAGCCTGGAGGCTGACACACTGGCTTTGTCACTGTCCTAATGACCTGGGGAAGTGGCTTCACCTTTCTGAGCATTCTGTCTTCATCTGCAGAAGGGGGATGTTAAAAGTACTTACCTGAGATGGGGGAGCGAATGAAATGACACGTGTTTGGCATTCAGCACAGCGCCTCGCACAAGGTAAACACTCAAAGATGTTACCTGTCATCGACATATACGGTGCTGAGCTGGTCTAAGTAACGCCAGGGTGAACGTCCCCATGCATCTGGTTTCTCCCCATTTCAGATGATTTATTTGGGCCAGATGCCTGGAATTGGGATTCCGGGGCCTGAAGCCATTTTGAGGGAACTGCTTGAGCTCAGTGGTGGCGCCAGGTGCCCACCTGCCTTGACTGGAAGCAGCCCACAGCCGCCTCCCCCTCCAGGCCCCATCCTTGACTCAGCCGGACAGCTTCCCAAACAGCCCATTGCTATGGCAACCGGTTCCCAGCTGCAGGAGAAGAATTGAGAGGAGGCTGTGACAGGGACGGATGGGTGGCTGAGGTCAGGGCTGAGTGGGGTACGGGCAAGCGTGGGCATAGCGTCCAGTCCAGTCTGGGCCCCTTTCAGAGACCTAGCACCTTCTGGAGGTAGCCCGGCTCGTGCTGGGGACACGATTCGTCTCTGCTAACTTTAGATGGGAGATGGGAGATGTCTGTTCTCTGAATCATAGCTGCCTCCTCTATGAAACGGGGATCTGGTATGAGAGGCTGGCTGTGTTGTGTTCTTCTGGTGTGAAATACAGACTCTTGGAGGACTGTCACTGGGTGGGGCGAAATGCCCTTTTCTTCTTTTGAGTCCTGCAGTGGTCAGTGAGGCCTGGAGCTGCTTTGCGGATGGAATAGCACGTGACATGGGGAAGGAAGCTCTGCCGCCCCCCCGCCCCCATCTGCCCACCACAACCAGGGAGGCACAGAGAGCCTCTGCCTCCACCCAGGTGTCTGGGCTCAGGTGCACCGTCTGCAGCTGCCAAGTGTCAGGAGATGTGTGAGAGAGAAGCATGTCTTTCTAGCAAGTGGTAGCTTGAGAATAGCTCTTTTTATTGAGTGCTTACTGTATACCGGGAACTTCACATAATGCTGTCGTCTCATATTTAAGCCTCACAGTAGCATTAAAAGTTAGTGGTAAGGGGCACCTGGGTGGCTCAGTCGGCTGAGCATCTGACTTCGGCTCAGGTCATGATCTCACAGTTTGTGGGTTCAAGACTCCCATCAGGCTCGGTGCTGACAGCTCAGAGCCTGGAGCCTGCTTTGGAGTCTGTCTCCCTCTCTCTCTGCCCCTCCCTGGCTCACGCTCTGTATCTCTTTCACACAGAAATAAATAAACATTAAGAAAAAACAACCCAAACCAGTTTCCTTTAAAATGAATAAATAAATAGTGTTAATACTCCCCTCTGCGATTCAGAGAAGTTAAGTGACTCAGTCAAGATCACACAGCAAGTAAGGAGGCCAGTATTTGAATCCAAGCCCATGGGATTCCAGAGTCTGTGCTCTCAGCCAGGCTATGGGGTTTGGAATTTTATGGGACTTTATTATAATTTGTTTAACAAGCAGAGGGCCTCTGCCAGGGATCTCATGGTCCAGTGGGGGCCAGTAAACAGGTAACTAGAGGTAGGGACTGAGGCCCAGCAGACTTAAGATACCCAGAGGGCAATGAGTCTACCCTGGGTAAGGGTGGGTGGGAGGGATTAGGGCGGAGGAGGGGGCTGCCTGAGTTGGGTCTGGGCAAAGGAAGTAAGTGGTCAGGAGGCAGAGAAGGTAAGAAGGACGTATCAGGAAGAGAGCAGAGCATGGGCAAAGGTACAGAGGCAGGAGGCAGCTTGGAGGGTTACAGGAGTGGAGCTGTAGACGGGGTGGGGGTCTAGAGGGGAGGAGTGAGGTGGGGAGACCGGCAAGGACAACGTTGCTTGAATGGAAGCGGAGAGACTTAAGTGCGGACAAGTATCAGGAGGGGCTCTCTCAGGCCTGAGCCGAGGAATCTTAACATCAGCATTTACGCAGAAAGCGTGCTGTGTTCCTGGTACTGTTCTAAGAACCTGGAATAAGAATGGTCCTTGCATCTACCCTGTGAAGTAGATAACTGGTAGCATCCCCATTTTACTGATAAAAAAACTGAGCCACAGAGAGATGAAGTAATTTCCCCGGATTATACAGATCCTAGCTGTTGGCAGTAAGTGTCCCGTTGCATGAATATGCTGTGATTTACTTATTGACGCCATATGGACATTTGGGTTGTTTGAATTTTTTTTGGTTTTACATCTGGTGTTGCTATGATGAACAGTTCTGTATGTTTCTGGGTGCCTATGAGCAAGAGTATCTCCATGGAATATTCCTGGGAGTGGAATTGCTAGGTTATAAGGTATACACATCTTCAACTTTCCTTAAACAATGCCAGATGTTTTTAAAAGTGGCTAAAACAGTTTATACTCCTACCAGCAGTGTACACATTCCAGGAGCTCCACATCTGCACCAACACCTGCTATTGTCAGACTTCCATTTTTGCCACCGTGGGAATATGTTCTGGTGTCTCAGTGTTATTTCAATTTTTATTTTCATTTCCCTGTACTAAGGAGACTCTTTTCGTACATTTTGGCCATTCCTGTTAAGTCTTTTGCCAAAACAATTTTTGTTTTGGTTGTTTAAGTTTTCCTTTAAATATT